CCCTGCAGCGCTACAGGCTGGGCACAGAGTGGCTGGAGAGCAGCCAGGCAGAAAGGGACCTGGGGGTGCTGATTGACAGGAGGCTGAACATGAGCCAGCAGTGTGCCCAGGTGGCCAAGAAGGCCAATGGCATCCTGGCCTGCATCAAGAACAGTGTGGCCAGCAGGAGCAGGGAAGTGATCCTTCCCCTGTACTCTGCATTGGTGAGGCCACACCTTGAGTATTGTGTTCAGCTCTGGGCCCCTCAGTTCAGGAAGGATATTGAGGTGCTGGAGCGGGTCCAGAGAAGAGCAACGAGGCTGGTGAAGGGACTTGAGCACAAGTCCTATGAGGAGAGGCTAAGGGAGCTGGGGTTGTTTAGAAGGCTTAGAGGTGACCTCATCGCTCTCTTCAACTACCTGAAGGGAGGTTATAGCCAGGTGGGGGTTGGTCTCTTCTCCCAGGCAACCAGCAATAGGACAAGGGGACATGGGCTCAAGCTCTGCCAGGGGAGGTTTAGGTTAGATGTTAGGAAGAAATTCTTTACGGAGAGGGTAATCAGGCATTGGAACAGCCTACCCAGAGAGGTGGTGGATTCACTATCCCTGGAGGTTTTTAAAAAGAGATTGGATGTGACCCTTAGTGCCATGCTATAGTAATTGGAGTTGGATCAGGGGTTGGACTTGATGATCTTGGAGGTCTTTTCCAACCCAATCTATTCTGTGATTCTATGGTCAATTGCTACAGCTCCGTTGATGCTCAGCACTTTGTTAAGAGGTGGTACTGCAAGTTGTTTAAGCCTTGTGTTTTGATTAGTAATTTTTGTGAAGTTTTTGGTGGTTTGTTCAATACATTCCTCCAGCACTTCATTTGCAATACAAATTTTTCATTTTAAATAATTCATACTTAATTACAGTAGTTGTCAGTTATGTGGTCCTTTTCATTCTTGAAATGCTTTAGAAGCATTAATTCCCACAAAGTTTTGAGAAGCAATTAAGTATTAATGTTCCATTTTTACAAACAAAAACCAGAAAATACAGAGGTTGGGCAAACATTTCAGAACATCAACTGTAAAATTAGGCACTGACTAGATAGAGACATGATCTAATTTTCAGAGGCACTGAAGACATTTGCATATTCAGAATGGAAACTTTTGTCCTAGTAGCTAAATTCATAAAGAATCTTGGATACCATATTACTGAGCATTACAAGTTTTAATTACTCAAGATCAAGATATGGGAGGAGTTCATTAACTAGAGAATATTTACAGCAGGTGAGCATGAAGCTGCCTAAACTAACACAAAAGAAAGACTGATTTCCAGATTCTCACAATTCCAGCTGTATAAATAACCCTTTACAAACTTCCCTCCATGTGGGCTGAAGAACTTCCCTGGCATGAACTGCTGAAGTAATTGCTGAAGAAAAAGAAGATTGAGAGAACTGGGGATTGTATGATCTATTTCCTCACAAGACCAGGCAAATTTAAGGACTGCTATTTAACAGCTCCAACAACCAATGTAGAATTTGTGTCCCGAGAAGAGATTTCAGCTTAACAGTGAAGCTGTTGAGAGCTGTGGTTTTGACCTTGCTTTTGGTTTTGACCTTGCTTTTTCTCTCAGCCTGAGGAGAAAACTGAACCTGGGAGAAATGCTGTGATCACCAGGGTATGGTACAAAAAGAAGGTCAGTACATGCCTGTATTTTAAATAAAATAGATATCTAACGTATCTAACATATCATAAATATCTAAATATCTAACACTGAGTTTCACACAAAAATAGTGTCCTAGAGACACACTTCACATGCTCTGAGCACAGCTACTCTTTCAGGATTCTCAGAAGGCATGGGGGGTGGGATGCACCGAGTTTCTTGCTATGAACAAGGGAAAGTGTGCATGAGGCGGGTGTTCTGCTGCTGAGCATTTGCAAACACATATAGAAAGAGATACTGGAGTAGTGAGAATTTTAACTGGTAGTATCTCTGGCCTTTGGGACTGAGTTCCAGCTTTGAAGAGTTTGACAAGAGTGATGTTGAGACTGTCACAAATATACACCCTAAGGGTATATCTATAGTGACAGTTATTATCAAATATTTTGAGTCCCATGAGCCATTATTTCTTGTTTGAATCCTATATCTATGGGGTGTTTGATGTAAACCAAA